CTTTGTGTAAATGAGCCACTACATTATAATAATAATAATAATGATAACAATGGATAAAAATAATAATGGCAGCATCAACTTTCAGGTCGGCGCAACTGTTTTTCAGTCGCATGCCACGCTTTTTGCACGCTACAAGTTAACCGCCTCAACTCCTGCATGTGATATTCACAAATGTTAGAATTTCTCCACTGTGTCTGTCCGTGTTTTAAAAAGGATGCCTTCTGACTCAGACAGGCTGGCTCTTAACGCCATGCTAGGCTATCCCACCATCACCATGCTGAAGAACAAAGAGCAGCCAGAGAGCGACTCTCCAGGAACATCCAACAACTTTGTTGGTCCGAGACAGCCCAGCAGGCAGCAACTTAGCTGCCGCCGCTAACCGTTTTTATCCACGGCGGCTGTGCTTAGGGTTTACACCGCTTGCCCCCCCACCTCCTCCCTCCCTTCCCTCTGCTGTGTCTCGCCTAATAACGCGCGGAGTTAAACACGGATTTATTCGCTTGGCTCCAAGCAGCTAACAATTCGCGTTATCTGCTCGCCACAGTTGCTAACGTTAGCTAAGCTGCTAACCTGTTTGTTGAGGACAATCGAAGTTAACCTAACGGCTGCCGTCGGTCGCTAACGTTAAGGCTAGCAAACTGCGCCGTTAACCGTTAAAAAAAAAACTACCCGGTGACATTCACCGCAGGAAGCCGGCTGCTGAAACGCGGCTCTCGGCCCTATCGGTGCCCCTCACTATATTTGCAACACCTGATAATGGTAACGCTGGGTAACGTTACCATCGCCAGCATCCATCCATCCGGTGTACACTCAGAAAGCTGCTTGTTGTCCTCCTCACAGATTGAACAACCCAACTCTCGATCCGAGCACAGACCCCGCCGCTCTCATTGGACTGGGGCTGAGCGGGAGCCGGGCTCTCATTGGCGGAAGGGTTGAACAACAGGCAGCAGGATGGACCGTCCGTCCGTCCACCCACAGCGGCCACATGGAACAATAACCGAGGCCAGAGTGGAAGCCGGGTTTAAGAGGACAGCCGCTACCCCTGACCCCCGGTGTCCCCGTTAAACCCCGTGCGCGCCATGTGTCAGCACGGTAGTGTTAATCTGGTAAAAAACACCTGAGGCGCGTGCGTGTACTGTGCGTGTGTTTAGCTTTAAGCTCCCTATTAAGCGCATCTCCTTTGGATGCTGTCGTGGGGAGGGACTACTTTCAAAATGCGTCAGCGCAAATCAGTGTAATTCAAGTTTAAACATAAAAAGAAAGCCGCTGTCTAGAAGAAATGCGCAGCATTCAGGGAGAGTTTGAAAGCTTAATAACATATCACAAGTTCTAAAAGAGATGTCATGTCAGTTTTAATTATAATACAGTTGTGGTTACGGTGCATATCCAGGATTTTTTCACACGAGATTAGGAGACGCATGGATAAAAATAACCAAATTAACAATAGCAATTATCGTAATTTAGTAGGACACTTGAATTATATATATATATTATTATTATTATTATTTTTTAAATTCAATTACTGGTAATTTAATAGGACATTATTCTGCATTTTTACTTTTTTCCCCCTGCTCTAACATAAGAGTCCACTCGATGCCAAGCATAAGTGAGATCTTCAGATTATTGTAGATTAAAGTGTCTATTCTCAGATTTTAGAAGCTAGATCCAGTCTTTTGGACATTTTAACAATCCAATATAAACAATCAAACTTACCGTCACCCTAAGATATCTGCACAGATACTTCTTTGCAATTTAATAAAGCATTTCCACTGTAAACTCATTACATGCGTAAGCACAAGCCTCCACCTAATACTGGAACACTAATCCAACTGCATAAACCTAGGGATTGGACTGACTATGAAATTCCTGGACCTGTAGTCAACATTTAGTTCATTCATTCCTGTCTTTCTGACAGAGAAAAACGAAGAAATCTGATTGTTTAAAAAGGAAAATCTCTCACCTGCTTGTGACATCATCTTTAAACATTCAGCCAGCGCAAAACTTGGATGATGCAACAGATAAAAATCGACCTCTCTCACTGATAAACGTCATCAGATCAGTTGACAGTCAACAGGGCCAGTGTTCAGCTGATAAATTGGTTCATCCCTGTGTAAACTAGCAAGAAATCAATGAATACTTTGTGCCTCTACTCTCAGATAAAAGCGCACCATCAAAAGGGCATCGCAGTATGAACGCTCAGAGACTTTGACTACTTGTTTTCACCGTGTCTCTTTATTGCAAATGCTTTCATCCAACACTAATGTGAAGTTCTGCAGTGATAATAAACCCCAGACGTTCAAAAAAAAAAAATGCCTGGGTACGAACGCTGATCCATAGGACCAGAAATATACCAACATCTGTACAAACATGGAGAGAAAAAAACAGATATCTTTGTTGCAGACTCAGCGCACATTGGTTCCAGGGATTTGCAGCTTGCGCAGTTTGTTGAATAACTCCAGGTACTGAGTCATGGTGTCAATACAATCTGTTGGTGCAAAGAGTCCCTCGGGCTTGGCAGCAAACACAGATGGCAGTTCAGGGACGCTGGGGCCGAGAAAGGACTGCATAAACTCCTTCATGAGGTTCCAGCAGTCCCCAGGAACGACACAAGGGCAGTACTCCACCTGAGGAAGCAAGCCAGGAGTTAACGCCTCAAGGAGAGAAAGCAGAAGGACGTGACTCGTCTTTATCACAGCATATATACATATACACGCACCTCTACTGATATCCCTCTGGCACTGGAGCTCATCGTCACGGTACCAACTTTTATCAAGAAGTCGCAGTAGCGATATCTCGAACCACGAGACTCCACCTTGTGTCCCTTGGCATTCTGAAAGTGACTTTTCAGCTTCACCATGAGGACATCAAAATTTGCATCTGCTATTAGGCAGGGTCCACCTTCAAACAGAGCCAAGCAGCTCAGGGGGGTTTCGGAGTTGTGCATCACATACAGGAGCTTGGAGGGCTGACCTACAATGGACAGACAACACTTAAATCTGTCAGGTGAGATGAGGAAGGAAATGAAAGTTCCATAAAGTTAGAGAGGCAAGGCTGAGATTTGCAGCTGAGGTTTGGACGTGTACAGTGAGGGATAGTAGATATATTGGGCAAAGGATGTTAAAGATGGAGGAGCTGCCAGGCAGGAGGAAAAGAGGAAGACGTCAGAGGAGATTTATGCATGTAGTGATGGAGGACATGTAGATGGTTGGTGTGACAGAAGAAGCTGCAAGGGTGAGATGGAGGCAGATGATCTGTGGTGACATCTAAAGGAACCAGACTTCTGGCCATATAGATATACAACTATTACTTATACTGATGATGATTGTTATTCTCCCACAGATACATTCAAAAACTGTGGCGAAACAGTAGCCAAAGATGCACAGGAGGAATCAGCGGTACTGAAGAGGACAGTAATAGTATGTCGATGGAACTTGTAACATTTCTAAGGAGGTGCACACCAGGCTGCTGAAGCATAAATCCCCAATAAAAGTGACTGCCTTACTGTGTTGACCTAACTACAGCCAATCAAACTGGTAAATGAACCAGTACACCAGTACTTATGTAGCTTGTTTTAATGTAGCTGAGTACTCAAAAGCACTTCCTACTACAAGTCTCACACTCACATTCATACAGTACTTTTGTCTATGCCTAAGTGTTTTCTAACACACACACACGGATGCATCAGGGGCAACTGAGGGTTCGGCATCTTGTCCATGGATACTTCAGGATGCAGACTGGAGGAGATGGGGATCTATGACGCTCTCTACCAGCTGAGCCACAGCTTGTGTGACAAAAACGTGAATTTTGACGTTTCATTGTTTTTTTTTAAATATACATGTTATGTTTGCTAATATTGGTAAATAGACTGCACTCAACAGATTTTGTGAAGTGGACATATATATATATGTATATACTGGTTTTGCAAGTATCTATATGACACTGACTTCATTGTACCTATATTATAGTCAGTCTAGTCCTTACAAATCCTTTATAGAACTGTGATGTTATATTTGTCACAATTTCTCTTGCCCTCTTTGCCAGATCTCTCTAGAATTTATTTTAATGTCAGTGACACTTAGCTGCATAAATAAGGGAGATATGAAAATCACTTTGCCAAAAAACAAGTTCTGCTTTGTGATAGAAATGTTCTTTCTTACTCAAAATGACTCAGAATCGTTCGTGAGAGATCTGTTTGACAGATTATAGGCCAATAAGTCATTTATAACAGTTTAAATACCGGCAATCTTTTTTTTCTTTGCAAACAATCACACGAAAAGGGGATAAAATACTCTGCAGCCCCACCTAGACATAGACATCAGGTCACCCTCATGGGTGAGTGCATTAATGTGATCTATAAATCTGAATTCTAAAGCTCAGAAACAAACAGATAAAAAATTATTACTGCTGGAATTTCCCGTGGCATGGTAAGTCTCGCAGTCCACGCAGAAGCTGCCTTGCTTCACGGCGCCCAGCTGCTCCAGCTTTTTGTGCAGCATGTCCACAGTCTGCTGCACGCTCTTCCCCTCCGCCACGGGCACCTGGCACACACTGCGGGGCACAGCAAGCAGAGCACTTGAGGGACCAGCATACACTTTGCCCTGTGTCACGTTACCAGCATTGTTGAATGAGACAGAGCCACGCTCCGCGGATCAATGGGACAAAAAACCACGCAGGATGGTTGAGGCTAGGCTAAAACTGTTTGAATGTTTAGGGGTTAAAAACGTTTAAAATCAAACGTAGGTTTAAAAACCACCTTACCAAGTAACACCCATTGATATTTTGCCTCTCTTCACTTGTAGTACGGTGTTTGAGCACTTCCGGGTTAAATAAAACCCCTTCCGGTAAAGTGAAAGGAAACAACAGAAAAAAAAAGAATAAAATATTATTGATAATAAAGAATGGTGAATATTAACACCGTTTCACAATGAAACAGTCAACTGACGTTGTTGCACTTTTTTTCTGAAGTGGTCGCCGAAAGCCGGATGTTACGTGAGTGTGTTGCGTCACTTCCTTCTCCCCGGACCTACACACGTGTTGAAGCAGTGACTGTTTACAGTGTTTGGTGAGGTCTGTCCCGTAGCTCGCACATGTCCACGGGAACATCCACACTGTGGTCACAGCTGAAGTAAAACCGCAGCGATGCCAAAAGTCAAACGATCCAAAGGTGGAGGAGAGAAGAGCGGAGCCGCGCCAGTGGCGCTGGCCGACCAGATCCTGCAGGCGGACATTGTCCGAGCCAAAGGCCGGGTCAAGATCAGAGACACCCGGGAAGAAAGCGACGACAAGTACGTGGACGAGCGGTTGTCACGGAAAATCTTACAACAAGCCCGCATTCAACAAGAGGAACTTCAGACCGAATATGGGCTGGCACCAGAAAAGAAGAAAGCACCAGTCACTGTTCTCGGTAATGTTGGATTGGTGTCGTAGTTATCCTTAAATTGTCGGATATTTGAATAGAGTCTGGTGAGCCAAGTGCTAGCACCATGGGCACATTAAGTCAGTCGTCTTTAACACACATCGCATTTGTTCAATGTCTTCTGACTAGATTAGGTAGCTTTTGTTTATATACCTACATTTGTCCTTTAACTTTCATAATCCACAACATTCCACAGCGCACATCTTTTCATGAGAAAAAACTAATACTAGCTCTGGTTTGCAGTCTTGTTACTATACATATAAAATACACTCTCACAAGCACATTTTAAAATATAATTAAAAAGCATTTCTCTGGTCCTAGATATTTATTTGTAGCAGGTATGTCATAATCTATAAATACAAGTAATATATCCATTAAACCTTTATCATGTGCAACCCCGTTACACTACTAATGTTTTGGGTTTTTTTTACCCCCAATCATATGATTTTTAATAAAATTATCATAAATGTTTTTATTAGCTGAAGGGATTGATCTGTTAATCTGCTGCCTTTGTAACTGCTTTTACAAAAAAAAGTAAATATTGAAAATTTGGTAGGTTTTGAAAGTTGCTTAAATGAATAAAAATTGAGTGTTATCTGTTATCAAGTGTGAAAGATGCTCAAGAAGTTATTAAACCATATTTTTTAATCTACTTTTTTAGGTTCTGAAGTATTGGCTGCAGAAATGCGCATAGAAACAAAAATATCATAAAAAGTTTATCTTTAATGCCTGATCTGGACATATTTAATATTTAATTTTTTCTTAAATACATACCAGAAAATTATAAAATAATAAGACATTTTTAAAGCCTGAATTGTCCTCCTATTGCTAAATGACCTAGGAGTTTTCCACACAAATACATAGAAGTGCAGCACATGTTGAATCCATGTTAAAGTGTAAAATCTTTCCTTGTGATTGTCTTTATCAAGAGACATTACTTAACTAAAATATTTACACCCAAAACAGTTCAGTGTGATCTTCTAATGAGCCATCTCCATCTTGTAATTTTATTTTAGGGCCTGAGTCTCAGGATGCAGACTCTGATGAAGAATGGCCGGCGCTAGGAGCAGCAGGTCCTGCAGATGTTGAGTACGATGAAGAAATCGTCGTTGACGCTGAAGATGAGAAGGCCATCGAGATGTTCATGAACAAAAACCCTCCAGTGAGGTGAGCTACACCATCGCTTTAACTTGAGGCGCTGCGAGCTCAGCAAATCCTTAGCTTTGTGTTTGTACTAATGCTGTGCAATAGTGGAAAGTTTGGTATCGAGTAGGGGTGGGCGGTATAAACGGTATACGGTAGAAACGAAATGAATTTGGCCAATGGTAGAGATTTTGACTATAGTGCATGTTGATGGTGTCATCAAGCTGCGCCTGTTTTGGTCGAAAGCATTGCAGTGGCTGCAAGCAATGTCATCTGCAAATTGGGCGACAGTAATAGCAAAGAGACGAAGCTCGTTTTAGAAAAAGAGGAAAGCCAAAAACTGCGCTTCCTCCACTTCCCTACCATTGATTCATTAATGTTGAATTCTCTCGCAACAGCTCTATTCCCATGTTGTTGCAGTATATTAATAACTAACCTCGTATTGTGGATGGATTATCTCAGTTGTTCTCCTGACTGAAGTTTGGTCCATGCGATTGCATTTGTCCCTGACCATCAGACCCTCACGTAGAGCAGGGTGATATGACCAAAAATATTTATCACGATATACATTTGAAAATCTGCGATAACGATATAACTGACGATATAATTGACACTAGACAAAATGCTTTACAACTCCACAACTTTATTAGTGCAAAAAACATCAATGTATTTCACTTAAACAAGCAGCTGTTTTTTTTATCTGCATTAAAGTTATATAAAAATGTAACAGTGCAAATGCAAATTCCTTGCTGACAGTTTAACCAAAAAGCATTTCCAGTGGAAACTGGCCGACATATCCTCAGCATAACCATGTTTAACATCCACTAAACTTAAGACGTTATACACACACAACACAGTAATACTATGTTGAAGCACAGTACGTATCACTCCGCGAGGCTCCTGCCTACAATAGCCGTAATGCTCCGACAATCCATCAAGGGGTGCGGCTTTGTTGTTTACCAAAGTCGTACTAAAACATTTTTGACAGCTTTTTGAGCGCCGTGTTCCACATAAAATCGGTTTGAGGTCAGTAAGCTCAACTAGAATTCATACATAAGGCACACTGTCGATTTTTGAGAAAATTAAAGGATTTTAAGTGTGCCTTATAGTGCGAAAATACAGAAGAAAAGAGTATATCGTGATATATATCATTACCGCACATGCTTCAAAGTGTACCGCGATATGGATTTTAGGCCATATCGCCCAGCCCTAGTATGAGCCAATACCAGCACTTCTAACCTATAAAGGAGTCGCCTTCAATTTGCAAATTCTAAATATATTTTAATGACAGTTAAATCTCTGGTTTTTGCTTTCGACAATAATTAGTTAAAACAGCAAAGCACATCTTTTTAACCTTTCATTTAATTTGAAACTTGTTTATTGTTTTTTTGTTTTTTAGAGCTGTAATGTTATTGTGGGTTTTTGGATCCGGTTCTCTTGTTGCGATCAACACAACAAGGTTCATAGTGCATGTTTGAAGTGTAGTTTTTCATTTCCAAAACATAACTTATCCAACATAATTCAGTCGGCTACATAATGAACATGGAGGATAGAAACAAATTATCGATCAAATTGTGCTGGTATCGATCCGATACCAATACCAGCACTGGTATCGATATTTGGATTGGTCGGCAAACCACTAACTCCTTTGTGGCTCTTGCAGACGGACGTTAGCCGACATCATTATGGAGAAGATCACAGAGAAGCAGACAGAGGTGGGCACGGTGATGTCAGAGGTTTCCGGGTGTCCGATGCCACAGCTGGACCCAAGAGTAACAGAAGTGTACAGAGGTGTCGGTAAGGTAAGTTTACTTCAAGCCCACCACACGTCAACTAACTGGGAGACAAACTAAAGGAAAATCGACACAGTCAGTGGAGAAGCCCACTGGCCCGGTTAATCATGCATATCATATCGAGCAGAGGGGGAGTTTGTACACACCGCTTGTATAACAGGTGTGTTTTTGTTAATGGAGACATGTTTAAAGTTGCCCTTTCTCTTCTTGTGCTTCAGGTTCTGTCGAAATACCGCAGCGGCAAACTGCCAAAGGCCTTTAAAATAATACCCGCGCTTTCAAACTGGGAGCAGGTTTTGTATTTGACTGACCCCGACTCCTGGTCGGCAGCTGCTATGTACCAGGCGACGAGGTAAACTTTGAGCTGATGCGCTTTGTGATGATTCGTTTTCCGCAAGTTCTCTTAAGTGATATAATGAAGTATTTTTCCTTGTTCCTTTTAAAGGATATTCTCGTCCAATCTGAAAGAGCGAATGGCCCAGAGGTTTTACAACTTAGTGCTGCTGCCTCGAGTACGGGATGATATCGCAGAATACAAGCGACTGAACTTTCACCTTTACAGCGCCCTGAAGAAGGCCCTGTTCAAACCGGGAGCATGGTTTAAAGGTGAGACTGAGGATTCGAATAAATACTTAAGATTGAGAACAGACTGTGACAGAACTGAGTAGAAGTGTGTGTGGAAGTGATTACAGAAATCTAGTAATCATAGTAATATAGAGTCATGTGTTTTCAAACTAAAGCATTTAAATAAATGTTATGTTACTGTACATTCTAGGTGTTATATTTAAATGTAGCAAACAAGCAGAACTAATTGGACTATTTCTGAAAAACCACTGGTGAGCCACATGTGTCTCAGCTGAAACACTGAAATGCATATTTTCAAAATGCTGTGCGTTCATATGACACACATTTGTTCATGAAGAGTATTCATATGAAAAGAGAAGGAGAGACCATAAAAGTACATCTTTCCTTGTGTTACAGTGCTGTGATTGCAGCCATTCCTCAATTCCCTGTGAATAGGAGCCATGGCCTTTAATTAATGGTGATGACAATCTGCGCATCAGTTATAATGAAACTGATATTGTGGCTCATTGTTATGCAGTGGTGCTGGAGATGCCTACAGTCTGCTGAGACTGAAGTCACTTGGATGAGTCATGAAATGTTTTCCCCTCTGAAAACACAACATGTAGATGAACTCTGTCAGCTTTCTAGGATTTCCTTACTCGGGTCGCTGAGCATTTTAACAAAAGTGTTGCATTAACTGTGTAGGAATGACAACTGTTGTGCACATTGAAGAATATGTACAATGTCAAAGAACAGTTTCCACTTTCTGAAATATCTTTAAGAATTCAAAGTAAAGGGTATCTGTGAAGTCAGGACAAGTTCTGGAAGAGAACATCTCCATAAATTTGCACATATGCTGAGCAGAAAGCAAAATACCCACATGACTGCAGAGCAGCTGCTTGAAGCTTTAACTGATTGGGGTGGTTGTGCTGTTTCGCTGTGTTGATGCACAGAAGAGATCTTGTCATTGGCAGCATCTTTGTAAGCTGGGAGGAATAGATTTCACTGACTTTTGGCAAATTTTGCATGCAAAAATGATGCATTCAGTCACGACAGGGAAACTGAAATAAGATTGAGGTATACAACTGGACAGTGATCCAACATAGACTTTGAAATCCACCATGAACTACTCCAAGAACCCCTACAGGCTACAGCTGTGTGACTCTCGGGCCTGTAAACAGTAACCTTTGTTATTGTTTGATTAAATCTTCATCGAAGGCTTAGATCCAGTTGCATGTAACCCTTGGAAAAGAAGTGGGTACATTAAATGACTGAGAGGATTTGGCAGCTTGTTGCATTGCAGAAAACAAGCTTTCTGGGACATCTCAGATTTCCAATTTCAGCACTAAATTTAGAAATATTATTCTGAAGACCCTGATGGAGGATTACAGTGTCCATAGGGTAAATAGCACCATTGGTTCTGGTAGGAAAGTAATTAACACACTCAAATCTAATTGGGTCAAAGCGTCTTTCATACATCCACAACTGATTTTTGAGGATGATTTTTCTTTAATCTTGTCAGTCTTGTGTTCACAAATTGTCCCAGTTCGGTGGGACTATTTTCCCTAAACATTCTGTGACCTATATTCTGGCAAAACGGTAATGCGAGATGTCACCACTGTGTGGCAGTGTTGCTTACAAAGATGTATTTTATAACCCACGAAGCATGAGAGAGTGGGAGAGTGAGAAGTGATCAGAAGCATGCTAAATATTTAATTTAGTGGAGAATTTGAAGACGCTAGAATAATGTGTTTAAAAAGCTTCAAATATTATTTTTAACATAATTAAACAAACTTGTGCAGAATCACCTTAATTTGGATTTCATGAGCACATGCAGCCCAAAGAAAAATAACAGTAATAATAATCATAATCATAACCATGTTATAATGATTCTAGCATATGTATGTATGTTTGTAGGATCCTGTCTACTCCTAGACGAGTGGAGCTATTTTAATGAAACTTTGCATAGACATTGACACTGACCGTCAGTATGTATGGCATATCGAACATCATAGAATGAATGATATATATGATGGGGTGATATAGAGTGGAATGCTTTGGTATAGAATGGAATGTCATAGAATGGACCGACATAGTATAGAATGGAGTGTTGTAGAATGGTACACCATAGCATCGAATGGTGTGTATAGAATGGAAAGTCATATTATACAGTGGGGTGTCATAGAATGGGAAGCTATAGAATGGAATGCTATAACCATACAATGGGATGCCATAGTGTAGAATGGAGCGCTATATAATAGAACATCATAATATAGAATGTAACATAGTACAGAACGGTGTCACCAAATGGAATCCCATAGTATAGAATTAAACGCCATAGACTGCAATTTCGCAGTATAGAATGTTGTGGCATAGAATGGAATGTCATACAATAGACTAGTGCTGCAGCTATCGATTGTTTTAGTAATCAAATAATGAAAATGTGTATCCTATTGATTAATAGGATAATAAATACTTTTGTGTTATTAATGAGCAATAATAAATATTCAAGAATGATCAAACACAAGTCAGGCAAAATGAACTGCTCATTGGGTTAAATTTTAGAAATTCTAGTGTTTTAAAGTTTAACTGCATACAACAAGATGTTATATTTAAAACATTTTTAAGATAACTTTTCTTAAATGGAAAAACACATAAATAAACTCAAGTACAGTGAAAGACAAATAAAATAAGGTGTATATTCAATCTAAACTAAGGCATCAAACATTTACCTTGACTCTGTGTTCTTGGAAGGCTTTCCCCAGTGTTTTATCAGTAAAGGTTTTAATGGTGATTACAGGAACAGCGCTGCTGTTTTGGACGTAGGAGAAGTGTTTTCATTTACTTAACCTGAGCACACCATCTCTTTGCTCTTCACGGTGTGTAAACACACTCCAGCTCCACTTTGCCACTGTTGCCTTTATCAGTGTTGTTGTTTACAACTGGGCGCTGCACGTGTTTAATGTTGTTTTTGTTCATACATTGCTCCTAAATGCATTTCTATTGCAAGTCTGTTTTAAGTCACAAATGACTTGCCATAGTATAGAAGAGAACCCCATAGTATAGAATGGTGTGCCATAGAGTGGAACGCTGTAATCATAGAATAGAATCACAGAACGCCCCGTCATGATATAGAATGGAACATCATAGAATTGAGTGTTCCATTAGAGTGTATAATGGCATAATACTATAATTAATTGAAAATGTTAAAAAAAAAACAACTTGCAGTTTGATCCTTAATTTTTTTACCTTTTTTTTTATTTCTGTCTATTATAATTTTTCCGGAACACTTATTTAACCTTTTTTTCCTGGACCTTCACACAGGTATCCTGATTCCTCTCTGTGAATCTGGGACATGCACTCTCAGGGAAGCCATCATCATCGGGAGTATCCTCACGAAGTGCTCAATTCCCGTGCTGCACTCCAGGTGAGGCTTCCTCACTGACATACGCTGGCAGACAGATGTCAGCATTTGCTCATGTGAAGTATTAACCAGCTGTCCTTGAAGGCCTCATTCTGTGCAGTGCAGGCAAGTTAACACAGAGTTCAAGGTTATCTAACAAGCAGTCTTTCTTGTCTTTCAGCGCTGCAATGCTTAAGTTGGCAGAGATGGAGTATAATGGTGCCAACAGCATTTTCCTGCGCCTCCTGCTCGACAAGAAGTACGCCCTGCCTTTCCGTGTTCTGGATGCCTTGGTGGCCCACTTCCTGTCCTTCCGCAGTGAAAAACGCGAGCTTCCTGTGCTGTGGCATCAGAGTTTACTCACCTTGGCTCAGCGCTACAAGGCTGACCTGGGGTCTGAACAGAAGGAAGCACTGCTGGAGCTGCTCAAGATACAAACACACCCACAGATCTCTGCAGAGATCCGCAGGGAGCTGCAGAACTCGGAGTCGAGGGACATTGAAATCGGGCTCCCTGTTACAGTGGAAATGGACTGATTTGGTTCGGTTTTCTTCCTTAGTAATGTTTCCTCAGCGTGAAAAAAAAAATCTTGGATTTTCAATATTCTTCTTGTCATGGGATAAAAGAGTTTGGAAAGATCAGTGTCTTGGAGTTCGCACATTTGGAAATGCACATCACTAGTGATACTGCTAATGTAATTTCGTATCGTCACGCTCAAGCTTTTTCTCTACAGATGCAGAGGAGTGGTCACGTGGCTTTTCTGTTCATCTAAATAAGAACAGCTCTGTTGTTATGAAGCAGAACATTGATTAAAAACGAACTGAATCTTTAAACATTTGCCATCAATGTCCATTTATTGCTTTTGCCTGTTAGAGTTCTGTAGGAGTTGTAACATGTTGAGTATGTCAGATTACCAAGTAGAGAGCTGCCTCTGGTTTTAGACATTTTTACAAATAACTTCACAGATTTATATCACCAAACTAAGTTAATGAGTCCTGCATTACTAGTGTATAATCGTGTCCGTCTTGTGAAGGAGTTTAACAGCCATTAGGTAATTCAGTTTGACCTCAAATGGAACATAGTTACACCAAAAAAGTTTGCCCTGGGCCTTTTTGTACACTGCTCAAAACCTTAAAGGAACACTTTGAAAGCATCAGATGTCACTGGGGAAAAAAACATGCTGATCTCTTTACTGATATGAACTAACTAAAGTGTTAGGAATGAAAGGCTGTCACATCATGTGATGGAAATGAAAATGATCGACCTACAGGGGGTTGAGTTCACCGGCGCAGTCTCAAAACGGGTCCAAGATTTTCATCCTGCCACCTAATGGCAGTGAGCAGATACCGGTTCTGCAGATGGTTTAAGGACCACCTTCGTCCCTGTCAAGCTCTCTTAGAATAACTTCCTGTCTCCTGGAAGGAAGTTTCAAAAGACAAGAAAGGACCCCGCTTGTCTCATTGATTTGCTCTCCTGATATTTAGACTGTAGTATTGATATTTTAACCTTTGCCTTTGTTAATTCCCTGAAACACAAAGCAGCTGAAACTGATTAACAACGCCCTCTGCAACTTAACTAACCAGATCAATATCTCAGAGGTTTACCTGACTCGATGCTTTAGTCTGACTAAAAAAAAAATGCTTCTTTGACTTTTTTGAACAGTCTAGATTTGCTGTTGTGCTTGGGTTTGTTGTCCTGTTGCAGAACTAATTTCAGTCAAGCTTTAGCAATCAGAGGAGTTTATTGTGGACACAATGCAAGGTGCCCTCCACCACTGTGTTTATACCGGTATGCTGTGCTTGGTTTTCACCAAACATAGTGCTGTGCAACATGACCAAAACATCTCAACTTTGCTCCTGTTTATCTAAAGGACACTGTTCCAGAAGTCTTGTTTTCTCAGGTGCAACTTTTTAGAGAGAAAAGACTTTCTCGTGAGAACCCTTTCAAATAAGCCATACCTGTTCAGTCTTTTTCTAACTGCTGTCATAAACTTTAATATTTAGCATGCTTGCTAAGCCGGTAGAGTCTGAGATGTAGTTGTTGAGTGAGTTTGAGTGAGCATTGGCTTGAATATAGTTGAACTAAATGCCAACTACAGAAGTTGACCCAAACTGCTTTAGAGACAGCTAGGCACATTTATATTCAAGGTCTCCAAAAAACCTAGTTTCAAAATACATAAAAAATTGAAAGGTTGATTTTGTAAAGTAAATATTACAGTGGTTTAGTGATCATTAAAATGTGTTCAGTATTTGTAAGTTAATGATGACTCATCTCATAAATCCTGACACAGCGCTGTCCTCTATAAGCTGCCTTTATAGGCAGAAAGTGTTGGTATCGACAATACTAGACCTGTATTTACTTGGTATCAAATTTGCTGAATGGCACACAACAAAAAAGAAAGTTCCTAAATAAGGCTATGAGATATGGGTGGATTTTTGTTTAGAGGTCTTCGAGATTTCCAGGGGAAAAAAATTCCAAAAATATTTTTAATTTTTAGTAAATGTATATGCATTTAAAATGGCATGGAAGACAAGAAGAAGACAAAATGCAAATAAGCTGGAAAATATTCAGCTTTAATTTTTGTTTATTTTTTGAGGGCTAAAATAAAATTCAGTTCAGTTTGAAATTAATACTCTTAAAGAAAATTAAAGAAAAAATATTGGCTGAAAATGGCGTTATGTCAGCAGCTACTGGACAGCTAGCTAAAAGAGGAATGGCCGCCATAACGGACCGAAGCTAACGCTAGCTAAACGGTTTATTGATCCTCCTTCACTGAACTGGATGTGTCTGGAGATGGAGGGCTTCAGAGTTGATCCGGAGATGGGAAATGTTAGTGAAACAGAGCAGGCTGTGGTCCCCCGGGCGAGCAGGGACCACGCTGTGACCGGTGACCTCAGAGTGCTACACAACCTGCGGGCCTTTGAGGAGACCAGCCGGGTGACCTCCCCCTTTGACGGGGTGCAGACAGAAGTCCAGCCGTACATGAGAAGGATACTAGCTGTGTGGATGTTTCAGGTATACACTCATCAGTCACAGTGTAATTTTCCACCTAGTTCAGGTGAAATAAACCAGATTTCTGTCTGACAGGTGTGTGAGGAGCAGAAATGCGAGGAGGAGGTGTTTCCGCAGGCGATGCGTTACCTGGACTGTTACCTGAGCCGTTTTGCAGTTGAGAAGACCAACCTGCAGCTGTTAGGGGCAGTTTGCATGTTCCTGGCCTCCAAAATGAGAGAAACGATCCCCCTGACTGCCAGCAAGCTTTGTGTCTACACAGAAAACTCCATTTCAGTCTCAGACATTCTGGTAAAGGCATTAACTATTATAAAGGAGCTAACATCCTTGATGTTTATCTCCCCTCAAACAGCACAGAAAAACTACCACCACTGACCAAGTCTGGGTTATAAATAAATAAATAAAAGTAATAATCAAATGCACAATTAAGTTTGGTCGCATAAGTCTGAGGGATCCCACATAATAAGTGAATAAATGAATCCGCTTTTCCCACTAAAATAAAATGTATTTATTTGACATCCTTGATGCTTTTTATGCTTCTCTTAAAGCACTTTTTTAAAACCTCTTTAGGCTTCTAATAAAAGAAATTGTGAAGGGATTATACTTATTTTATTTAACAGATCATTACTGGTACATCCCAAGTATACACAGGGAGGCTGGATTTAAACCCAGGACCTTCTTGCAGTGAGGCGGTGTTGCAAACCACCCCACTGTGACCCCTCTTTCTGTTGCATTTATTGCAAATATTCAAAGCGACCTCATGATTTAACTGAGCCTCCAGTTTGTCTCTTTTAAAAGTGGAATCTGTAATACTTGCGGCCTCCATGGATCTCACGATAATCCCCAAAATCAACACTGTTGCTTCTTAATCTGTGGATAGTTTTCCTGTTTTGGCCGCATCCAGAAAGGCCAGCTACATTCCCATGAACCTCAAGTGTCCTGGTGGTCAAATGAAAATCAGACGGCGTAATGACAGTCTTGTAGCTTTGCTTTTGTCATGAATTTCATGAGAGGACATTTATAAACTTGACAGAAATGCATACTTTGACCAAAGCAGTGCTTCTCAAACTGTGGTTTAGGCCTCAATGATATGACATTGGGCAACTGCAGATGGATCGTGGACACACCTTTCAATACTTTTATTCCATCTGAAAAGGAACAACAGTTGTAATATTCATTGAAGACTAAGTAGAGACACGTATTGGTACGATTTCTAAGGGCACAATTTTATCAAGGCCATTTTAGAAGATCTTTGTAGGTAGGAAGCCGGAAATGTTCCCTTTTCACAATCATTTTTTTGACCAAAGGCTTGCAGGCATGCACACTGTTCAGGACACGGGGGTTTGACTGAGGGGTTAGGGTGACCAGCACTCGTTGGCTGATCTGAATGAGCGTTCCTGCTGTGGGATTTTGATGGTGGACTGGTTTCAAGGAATGTGTGTGTGTGTGTGTGTGTGTGTGTTGCAGCACTGGGAGCTGGCAGTGGTGTCAAAGTTAGAGTGGTGTCTGGCCTCCGTGGTCCCCTCTGACTTCCTGGAGCCAATTCTTCACGCTCTCCCCTTTGTCCGACCTCCCCACCTTCAGAACATGCGCAGGCATGTTCACACCTACATCGCTCTGGCTGCCATGGGTACGTTGCATAACTGAGTTACCTAAACATGAAATGATATCCCCAAATGAAAGACAATATCAGTCAATTTAGTGTTCAATTTAAGACAGACAACTAATGGAAAATACATTTTAACAAAAAAAATCTTGTAATGTAATGAAATCATCTCATTTACACCCCCCCTGTAAAACAATCAGTGATAAGACTTTTTACTTCATGATCATCAAGGGACTATTTAAGCCGTGAACAATGGGCATCAAACGGCCCCAACCATGATTACGATGTGTCAGCAGTTCATTTTGGATAGTGAGAGCAGAGTTTGTGTAATCCTGCATTGTCTGCTATGAAAGACCTGCATCCAGCTATTCAGCTGGCCGAGTTCCCACCTATCTCTATCTGCAATACTGCCCGAGGCTGCAGGTCACAGGGATACAGTTAGTTGCTGCTCTTTCAGGCAGCTGTTACACATTTTCAGCCCCATAAAAATAAGACATTTTAACCCACTCTAAGGGTGTAAAGCAAGAACTGAATGGCTGAGTTTTTGTCTCACCATTTCTCCTGCTTCAAGCCATTAGGATATCATATTATCCTGTTCTGGGAAGTGTCTGTTTTAAGCTTTTAGGTTCATCTGTCAGGGTGTGTCGAGCATGGTGGCGACCATCTGTCTACCATCTATTTTCTTTCTCAATATTGTGTGGACAAAGTGCTCATTATTAATAGAAGACACGAAAGTAATAAAACGGTTTTAATTATCAGAATGCAGGTTTTCAGTCTTCCCGCCCTCCTCTGTAACGTGTGCCTGCGTGAGCATCGCCACGCAGAAGCTAAAGCTGCTGGACGCTGGCGTGTCTGCAGATTCAGTGATAAAGTTTTTGGCCGACCTTTTGGCCGCTGATCAGGTAAGGCTAATGTTTAACTGACTGAGTTTCAGGCAGTATCTCTTTTGACTTTGCCCTTTCGTCAACAGCGACGGGTGTATTTGTAGTCTTTGATCAAACAGCCTGAGAACTGCTGCAAACAAACCACTGTTTAAAAAGCATCTTAAAACATATCCATGATTATATGTGCGGCCTTGTCACCGCTGACAAATTCATTGTTTCTATGTGAAACGTGGCCCCGAACAGAACGCCCTGCTCCTCTGCTATGACCAGCTCAGGATTGTGTTAGAGCTCAGCCTGCCCTCCAGCTTTCAGGATATGGTTTGCAAGCCAA